CAGGAGGATTAATATACAGTCTAACACACACGGATCCCCCCGTCACCACAAAGAGATCTCAAATATTTCACCAAGATAACTATTGCTCCCCCCGCCCACCCCAAAAATAATCTCATACGCTGATGTTAGGAAAAAAAGTTCACCTACGTAGGGTCTTCAATTTCAGTTAGATATAAAAGAGTAAACATAGCTAATACATATTCAGTTGGCCTCTGTTGATAGAAATCCACAGCTGTTTCTGTGTTAGTAAAAGACATTTGTAGATACTTATAAAAGCACCTAGGGTGCAATAAATAAAACCAGTGAGTTATGCCATTTCTGCTTTCTGTTTCCAGTAGATTAATGACTTTAGTAGATTATTAAGTTTTACTTTGTCCCACCCAACTCCATCAGAAGACTGTATTTAAGAATTAGAAAGATGACAATTATTGTTGTCGTTATTGTTAGTTGTCTCTTTTTGGCCACCGTGGAGGCTCAGTGGTAAAGCACGTTCTTACAGTTGGCAGTTTTCGTACACAGACACACTGGAGCTGCTGGGCTATTCAGTCCCGTTTCTTGACATAAAACATACAGACTCAAACTCATTCGGAATTAAGAGCAGTGTGTTAGCCTAAAGGAAGTGACTTGGAGTTGCCCGCACTGAGAGTCTCAGGTGCACAACTTAGGTGGGTTAAGGCAAGTATGTACGGTACAGCCTTCAGGGCAAACAACCTGCCATTTCAGACTTTGGTTACAAGGTCATCATGGCATGTTTTGTTTGTTTTTGCAACTTTGTTGCCTACATAGCCGTGGTGCTATCAAGACATATGGAATGCAGAAGACAGGACTCTCAAGCTACTGTGCCCTGGGTGACTCCCAGCTCACAGGCCCAGTGGCTGAGCTGCAGAGGAGTTAGGGATGGCCAGCAGATGGCACCAACACGTCTCCTTTTGAACTTTCCAAAGGCCTGGGAGAAAGAAGACTGCTTTCAGGAAGTCCAAGATGGGCGTGTCCTGCATATTTGTCAGTTTCAGTTAGAAAGAGGAGGCCAAGAGGAATTGGTGTGCCCCTCCTGCATATTTGTCAGTTTCAGTTAGAAAGAGGAGGCCAAGAGGAATTGGTGTGCCCCTCAGTGTATGTCTGTGTGTCTATGTGTGTATGTCCCCGTGTATGTGACGCTTGGTGTTTGTTGGTTAATATGTATATATATTTAAACTCAGTTGCTTCTTGCTCTTCATAAAATGCAGGAGGCCACTGCGAAACAAGAATTTTATAAGGTCCAGGAGCTGACATTATGAAGCCATCTGTACTATTTTGACCTGAGAGAGAGAGAGAGAGAGAGAGAGAGAGAGAGAGAGAGATGCTTTTAATCAAGGGGGAAGCTTAGCATCTTTTCTTGCCTCACCAAGCACAGAGCAAGCACCCCCCCCCCCCCAAAGAACAAAATCCAAGCCAAATTTTACTTTAAATAGACAACTTTTCTCTCCTTTTCTTTTTTCTCAGTGCAATCTCCTGGATACTTATGTAATTTAAGATCCACTTCGGGGGACAAATAAAATGAACATGTATTGCTATACAATTAGGCTGTCAAAAAGAATGCGATATTTTCAAATGTCTGGTAGACCATGGGACTTTCTCACAGTTCATGGTGCAGGGAGCCCAGGCAGATCTCTGCTGCTACGGCACACAGGTCGGAGGTGGTCAGGCAGCTACTTGTTAGGAAATGAACATGTGGACATGGGAATATTTCTGTGCAGCAACTTCATAGCTATTGTTGGTTTCAAAGAGGTTTACCAAACTATAAGAAAGACTAATAATCTATCCTTTTTAGATGGATTATAGATAGTCTGAAGAATTACAGGCCAAGAATATTTACCAAATGTAACCAAATAAAAAGTAGACTATCTATTCATTGACTGCAGAAAAGGATACATGGCTGTGAAGGGAAGAAGTTAGGCAGTGTTTTCAAAGCTCTGTCCAGGCTCTCTGCCACAGAAGGTGTGCTGGGGACAACGGAAGCCCCCCAGCTGAAACTGCACATTGCTTTTGAGCATTTACTCTCCTAAGGAACAACTTTTACTTCCAGTTGCTGTTAATGTTGTTAGGGTGCTTGAACTGGCCCATGATGTTAAATTACTTTTACTTTATGAGGCTTATTTATGGCAGGCTGACAGGAGAAGGTACACCCGGAGGATAAAGATATAGGAGATGCTCAGGTTCTGCTGCTCTGCAGGGGATGAGGTTTATGTGTGACTCATTTTTGTGTTTTCATAGGATTTGAGTAGACAGTGGCTCTCCGGTGATTGATTTTGAGGTCTACGAAGTTGAAAAAGCCCTTCTTCATGCAACACCGCATAATGTGAAATCAAAAGGGAATAAAAGAGACACAGAGAAGGGGGAGGGGTGCAGGCACGAATGGCAGCTAAGTTGGTGTGGAGCAGCAGAGATGAGGGAATTAAGAATCAGGGAATATGATGCCAGAGCAAACTCACAGTCCATCGATGAATTTGGAAAGAACACAGAACTAAGGGGCTAGAAAACTGGTTGACGATTGGAGTTGCACAACTGACAAGTCATGTGACCTTGTTTTCCTTCCACTTGACACAGTTTCTCATCTATAAAATAAAATCTAGTATTTGAGGCCACTAGGGAATGTTCTGTGGAAGGGATAGTAGTCATATTTTGACTGGTGCGTTGTTACATATTTGAATTATTTCTAACTTCCTAAATTTGAATTTCATTAAACTTCTGACTTATTTCATGAGTAGTGAGACTTGAAAGCTCATACATAATTTTACTATTCCTGGAAAGTAAAGAAGAAAGCAACATTTTTATTATTTTTGGTTTAGTATTTAAAGTATTTTATTTCATAAAATCATGGAAAATTTCATCTTTGAGGAATTTAATGCTGGATAAAAAATTTGCAGACTACCCTCTTTCAGACATTAGAATTATAAATGCTTGATTTGAAAGAATATACTTGATTATGTATAATTAGCATTCTTATGTTATTATTATAGTTCATCCTTTCATAAGTGGTTACATCTAATTTACTGTAGCTTGATCATATTTATTGATCATTCCTATTGACCAACACAATGAAATGCTGTGTGCTAAAAATGTTATGTGCTATTGTCAGAGCAAGCATCGCAAGCCTGGCAGATGCCCTGGGTTACTGCTGAGCACAAACATATTGTTACATGTTACTTGGGCTGGTGTTACATGAGATATATTGTTTACAGAGGAAAACCTTTGGGAATGAAATATAGTATGTATTGATTTGTGACGTGATAAAGTCTTTTCATGAGTAATATTGGTAACATAAGCGTTGTTCCTACTACTAATATATTAGGTTTATTAAGCGCTTATTATGTGACATGTCCTATGTTTTAGATGCTTTATATGTGTTATTTCTTATAAATTTAGAACAGTTATATGAAGTATTTATGCTATTGTTTCTATTTTTCAGGTGAGTAAAGATAGATTTGGTGAGAATAAATAAAGTTGTTCAAATAAAGTTATATGTCCAAGGTCATAAGGAATTCTATCTCAGGCCATCTGTCTTCAATAGGTCATATTAACCATTATTTCTTACTATTTTGCCTTTATTTTTTAATAGACTACTTTATATAAGGCTATGATACAATATTGAGAAGAATGGGAAAATATTTAGAGGATCTATCATTTTATTTTTTGTTTAAGCTATCAAGTGTTTCTAGAAGGACAAAAAAGGTAGATATAGCCCGGTTGGTGTGGCTCAGTGATTGAGTGCTGACCCATGCACCAAGAGGTTACATATTTACTCCTGGTCAGGCACATGCTCAGGTTGTGGGCCTGATCCCCAGTGTGGGACATGCAGGAGGCAGTCAATTGATGTTCTCTCTCATCGATGTTTCTCTCTCTCTCTCCCTCTCCCTTTCTCTCTCTCTAAAATCAATAAAGAAAAATTATAAAAAAGAAATAAATAAAAGAAAAGGTATGGTATAAAAAGAAAACAGGCCAAAGGAAAAAATAATTAACAGAGGAAAATAGATTAAGAAATATTACACAAAGGAACTATATTTTAAGATATAATTTAAAAGTTAGTGAAATTTCAGAGTGGAATTTTTGGGGAAAAAAAGTTGTTCAGGAGAACAGCATGGACAATTGGAAAAATACTTGTTATATTTACAGAAGGCAAAAGTTCTAGTAGGCTGAAAAAAAAAATGATTAAGGGGAGATATTAGACTGTTCATGCCCTCAATTGATTATAAGCTTCAGGAGGGCAGGGGTCAATTCTTAGTCATCATTACATTTTCCTAGGGTGTCCCAGCATCATTTGCATAGTAAGGGTTGAGGAGAAGAGATAATGTTTCCACAAAGCCTTGGGGCCAGATCAGAGTAGACTTTCAGGCTATAGTAAGGAGCTTGGGCTTTGTTCAGTAGGCAACATGGAGGCATTGATAGTTTTGGGGCTGGAGAGTGAAAAGACCAGAGTGGTACTTCAGGGAGATCAACTTGGAGGCCAAGTGAAGGATGGGATAGGGGTTCTAAAATAGAGAGAATGAAAAACTTAAGGTCATGAATGCCAGAATTAGGAGAGTGGTTGTGGGGATGCACAAGAAGGGATATGTGATGTACTGTTTGCAGAGAGAATGCTTTGCATGGCAGATAGTATTGCCTGAGACCTGAACTGATAACGGCTTTCCTAGGAGCGGTGTTACGAAATTCTGCCAGGGAGCTGCAGGGGGCACAAAGAAAAAGGGAGGCATGCTGTATAGATCATTCCCTTCTTAAAATGAAGCTTAAAGGGTTTGTGCAAAGATTAATCTCTCTAGAGAAATACTCCAAAAATCCATTCATTATCCTACACACTAATGCTATTAAAAGGTAAAATGATTCGATGGTGAGGACAAGGACAACGAACACACATCTTCAAAGAGAGAAGCTCACATTTCAAAAGGAATTGGAATCTTACTTTCTATTTTGATCTTCGCTTGCAATTCAGCATATCACCTGATGCTGATATATAGAATTTGTTATCAGTTGTTATCCAAGGGAATTTGCCTAAACACAGATATAAAAATCAGGCTCTGACTGTATATCTGCTCTCTGGAGTGCTAGAGTTAAGGGTCTGATAAGTTTCAGTGTTAATATTCCGCTTTCACTTTCACATCACCAAAATGATAAAGTATTGCAGTTTTTTTTTAAAAAAATTTTTAAACCTATATATAACTAGAGTGATAATCTATCATTTATCATCCAAATGAGAACACTTTTGAGAGTAAAAAGGGGTGCTGGTAATAAGTATACCAGTACCATCCATGTAAACTGAGACTATCCTGGGAAAACCAAAACATACAGTTTAGATGTAGTCCCATACAACTACCTACAATGTCTAATCATTTTAAATATATACAACTTTTGGGTAATTAAAAAAGTAGTATACTATATAGGTTTTTTTTTAAAGCCATGTAGTTGATACTTATATAAGACCAAAGGTAACTTTAGATGTGGCATTTCTGGTAAGTTAAATTTTAAAACATTTATGAAGAAAATGTTAGAATTATCCCAGTCAAAATGACATACACAGGAGAGAACACACTAATGTGTAATTGAAGGGAAGCTGCATGCCTGCATGCCCACTATTCTGTGCCCCCAGAATGTTTACCTGGCCATCTTTTAGTAACCCAGAAGGAGACCTCCCAAGTATAGTACTTACATGTACATAGGCTGTAGTTGTAAATGAGATGTCTTCTGAGGTCCTTGATAGCCATAAGAATCAAAGCCACCTATGAAATCAACTGAAAAGGGACAATTGCCTTCATTAATTAACTTTTCAGAAGAGATCAACATTCATGATCAAGGTTTCACAGATTCTTCATATACACCTTTTAAGAATCTACTAAACTGAACGTTGACTGTGGAGGAAAAAAAAGATTGTTCCCTCAAGGCGGTGATTCCCCCACCTCCTCCTCACCTGTGAGATTCAATGACAGCTTTACATGAATCTTCATTTGAAGGAAGAGTTTATGTACTCCTCTCAAGCTACTAAGACCTAATTGTTGTAACAAAATTCACATGTATATTAAACATGCCATATGTACCCTGGCAGCGTAGCTCAGTTGGTTAGAGCATTGTTCTGATACACCAGGTTGTGGGTTCAGTCTCCAGTTAGGACACATACAAGAAGCAACCAATGAATGCATAAATAAGTGGAACAACAAATTTCTCTCTCTTTCTTCTTTCCTCTCTCTCTCTAAAATCAATAAAAATGTAAAGATCCTATATGTCTTTTTGGTTAATGTGAAGTTTTCCCACTATACCTGACACATGTGAAAAATAACGATGACTCAAGTGCATGTATCTGTCAGCAATAGTATCACTCGTAATAATACCATATACTATGACTGTCAAGTACAAGGCACTATGTTGGAAAATTAACTTAAGATGTTGTCCCTGCCATCTTGTGGTTTATAATCTGAAATGCACAACCACAAATAAATATGTGGAACAATGTCTAACCAAACGTTCAAATACATACATACCTAGATATTTAAGGCACAATAATATATACCAAGAGTTATTGCAGTAGATTGTATTTCTCCAAATGCCAAAAATAATTTACCTTCTATTCCATATATGCTTACAATGTAATCTTGACACACCTCCCATCCAGTGGTTTGGGTCTATGTCCCTTACTCTTGAACCTGGGTAGACCTTTGTGGCCACTTTGACCAAAAGAGTAGAGTACACGTAACACTATGTGTCTTCCAAGGCTAGATCACAAAAATGTCATACATTTCCCTCTTGATTTTTTGCGATGCTCTCTCTTGGAACACAGTCACTATGCCCAAGCTAGGAAGCCCAAACTCCCTACATGGAGAGACTAATGGAAAATCCATGGATATGTTTTTTGGTTGATAGGCTGAGGTCCCAGTTGATAGCCAGCTCCCACACCCAGACCTGTGAGCAAAAATGCCTCCAAATGACCCCAGCACCCAGCTGTTGTCAGCCCAGTCTCGGAGGCTGCCCAGCCAGGTCCCTCGCTGCCCAGCCAGGTCCCTCGCAGTACCAATCAGAGGTAAGCCTTCCTCATTGTGCTCTGTCTGAATTTTTAATCCACGGAATCCATGAACATAATAAATGGTTGTTTTACACACTATGTCTTGGCAGAAATAGTAACTGGAACAATAAATACTAAGAGTACTGTGAAAAGTTTTTTTCTTTTTCTTCTCTTTTCCATTCCTGGATGTAGAAGTTATGTGGTGGGGATAGAAGACGAAAACAAGTGGACAAACAAAATGAATGACAAAATAGATGACAGGAAGGAGAAAGGAAGAGAAATACAGGCTGAATTAGGAGGCCCTAAGATAGCTATCTACAGTTTTTGTAGTGTCTTATCTATTGGCTTAGTTTTACTAATTTTGGTTCTCTTCATAATATCTTGTGTTACAGATAGAAATTGGAGCAAGGTGTGAAGTAACATAAAATTCATGATGTCTAGTTGACTGTTTAGTGGGGAAACCTTTTCTAAAAATAGATTATATTTTTTAGAGCAGTTTTAGGGTTACAAACAAATTGAGCAGAAAGTACAGAGTTTATATATTCCTCCTGTCCTCACACATAAACAGCTACCCTTACTGTCAACATCCCCTAGAGTGGTATATTTGTTAACAATTGATGACTCTACATTGATCTATCATTATCACCCAAAGTCCAGAGTTTACATTAGGGTTTATTCTTGGTGTTTCATAATATGTGGGTTTTGATAAGTGTATAATAATATGTATCATACAGAATAGTTTTACTGCCCTAAAAATCCTCTGTGCTCTGCCTTTTCATCTCTGCCTCTCCCCTAGTCTCTAACCACTGACCTTTTAACAGTCTCCACAGTTTTGCCTTTTGGAGACTGTCATGTAGTTGGACTCTTACAGTGCGTATCTTTGTCTGATTGAGCTCTTTCACTCAGTAATGTGCATTTGAAGTGCCTCCATGTCTTTTTATGGTTTGATATTTTATTTCTTTTTATCATGAAAACTTTTATTTTTGAGTTAGAATTTCTCTTCTCATCAAAATTGAAATAGTGTAATGAGAAAAACAGAGACGCTGATGTTAGGAGGATCAGGGTTCAAATGCTGCTTTGACCACTTGCCAGTGTGTGACCTTAGACAAATCACTTAACAGCCTTTAAAGTAGGACTTATTGTACTTACTTCATACAATTATCATGAGGATAAAATAAGGTAAGGAATGTAGACCCCTCGATGAGATACATGGTATGGAAACAGACAATGAAAAGCCCCTGAAAGCATTTAGGACTCATTATAATCCTATGCAGTATAGGAGAAAGAAAGACAGAACATGTTTAATTTGGAACAACTATGGAACTATACCGATATTTTATAGAAGATGAATTAAAGGAGAATGGACCTCTTTTGTTTTCTGATTGCCCACATTTATGCGCTAGCTAATAGAAACAGTACCAGAAGAGCTAAATAATAATTGGATGGCAACTATATTGAACATTTGTATTTTGAGAAATTATTGTCCATGACTGGGGATCTGCTGCAAATAGTGCCTGAATTCTCTTTCACTTGGGTTCACTCTTGTGAACACTGAGACTTACTTAAGGAATAGTTTGCTGAGAGGTTTTCACAGCATTAAAGTTTCCTTTTTCTGAGGTCCCTTTCAGTAGGATTGTCCTCACCCTGGTGCTGGAGAATAGAGTGGATTTGAGTAGCTCAAGATCAGGGCAGATGTAAACAGTAAGGTTCCTCCACTGGCATTGAGATCCAAGTCGAGCTAAAGTAAATGTGTCGTTATTTTGTTGTTTTTATTTTTCTAATTTATTTTAAATTTTTTCTTTATTGATTTGAGAGAGAGAGAGAAAGGGAGAGAGATATAGAAACATTGATGAGAGAGATCATCAACTGGTCGCCTCCTGCATGCCCCCCCCACCCCACTGGGGATCAGGCCCACAACGTGGGCATGTGTCCTGACCGGGAATCGAACCGGCGACCTCTTGATGCATGGGAGAATGCTCAACCACTGAGCCACATGGCTGGACTGTTGTTGTTTTTAAATATTTCCTTAGCCTTTCTCCCCCTGGGGTTTCAGATGAATGGCAGAAAAAGGCTGATGGTAATTATAAACCAAAGATCATTGAGTGAACCAAGAGATGACCTGAAGAAACCAAGATGATATTTCAAGTCCAGTGGATAGAATCATGACCAAAAACAGGAAACAAAGCTGAGTCCGGAGCAATGAACCTTCCTAAGACATGAGAAAAGGCCAGAAGGGAAATGAGGTAATGAGGTGTGCCCTCAGCCTGTGTTGCAAATGGAACGGGCCTTGTCTGGGGTTTGCTCTCATTAGCCATGATCTGTCTGGTGTGTGGGTGTAGAGCTGGCTTACAACTGCCCAGTGGGGAGAAGGGCACCGAAGCCCTGATGGAAGGGTTGCTGATGTTCTAATCATTCAGGTCAGCCAGAGCCACAAAGAGTTTCCCACAGCAGATGATTCAGAACCAAGAATAGAAAAGAAGAGGATCCAAATATAACCAGGAAGGACTTTTACCATTTCACTGATGGTGTGTGTGTGTGTGTGTGTGTGTGTGTGTGTGTGTGTGAAATTTAAATCAGAATTAAAGAGCATATTTTCTGTATTTTATTTTATATACATGCCTGTGTTCATAGCCAGAGAAATGATGTATGGTCATTTCTCACATGCATTCATTCTGAGTCATTGTATGGTAGTCTTCCTAAATATCTCAGGGAGACGAATAGGAATAAATTGGACCCAACTGACCACTACGGTTAATATTATGATGGTCAATGCATGTGGACTTGGTACCCTGCACCTTTAACAGAATTATGCTTCGAGCAGGTCTGGAACTCTTTGGGGTGCATGTGGGTGGAGTACAGGGGTAGAAGGAACTCTTTTCTTAATGAAAATCCTGAATTACTGAGATTATCTAACATTTTTAGAATGCCCTTAATACCACTTTGGTCTGTTTTCAATTGCTTTGATATAATAACATTTACTCAGGCTCTAAAGAGGCTACTGCATACTGTAAACATTTTTATCCACAATAGGAGTCATAATACAGCTGACAGGTCCTTCGCCAAGTAATTATGATGGCATCCAGATGTTTGCCTTATAGCACAACTCTGCATTATTTAGAAAAAAAAGTACTTTTTATTAACCAGAAATCTTAATTCCTAAAAATAAAAATAAATTCTCAACAACTGCAAAATACTTAATAATTCCTAAAAACATTTCTGGTGACATCATTTATATTTACAATAGTACTGTGAAGAGGGTAGGAATAATTACCTTCATTCTACAGGTAAATACAGATTTATTGGACTGCCTGGGGCCACACACTAGCGGGAAATGGGACCAGAAGCTAGGTATTTGCTTTCCTCAATAAGTATGCTGAAAAAGTGATTTTTGTGTTTTACTCATGCCATTTCAGAAAATTCCTGGAAGGTTATCAAAGGTTTTGCATCACATTGGGGATTAAATCTAAAATCTTTAGGCCTCTCCATTCTTAGTCTTCATTTAACAAACGTTTTAGAGTTCTTCCCTGGAGTCCTCTACTGGTGGTAGATGTCTCCTTGTGTTATTTATTCTTCAGCATCTTTTCTGTTCTTTTTAGAAAATTTACTCCTTCACCTTCTTCCCAACTCTGGTTTACTCTTCTCAGAATATTCTGATGTGAGCAATAACCAAAGCAAAAACCACCTGTGCTGGATTTGCCAGTAATCATTTCACACAGATTTTGGCTTTCTGCAACGCGT